TGTGGTGTCTAGTGACTGTTATTTATTCAACATATGGGGATCAGCAGGTCAGAGGCATTTCCTTACTGGTTAAATATACCCTGGGTGCAAGGGTGGACCACAGTGATGCTGAAAGCTGGTACGTTGTGGGCTCTTAAGTGGTTGTCTACCTGGGTAACCAGCTACCTGGATAAAATGTCAGTGAGAAGGGTTGATCTTGATTGTCTAACATTCCATTGGTTAGGCTATTTGGACAGGCAGGACTTCCAGCAAAAGCTGACTAGATTAGTCCAGCGGAAACTAGTGGGGGCAGTAATCAGGAATAGGTGGTGAAAGTGGCTTAAGGATAGCATTAGGTCTTTCACCACCAAATATAGCCAATGACTCACCCTAGATAAGGCTAAGAAGGTGAACACTCTCAAGGATAGTCTGTCCCAGGCAGAGGCTGGGAGGGGGGGAGATCCCCTAGAGATAGGTGTAGCTAGGTAGGCTCTGGAATGTGTGGCTAGCAAGTGCTACCATGGTCAGGTAGTTAGACATAGGTTAAACAAGATGTCTGGCGAAGCCATGAACATGGGTGCAGAATTGCACAAGGAAGATATCTGACAAGGTTACAATCGATATATTCAGGAAGTTGATATTCCAGAGGAGTGTACTCTGAGGTCAGCCTGTAACATGTGTAAGGCATTTTAAGAACTGGTTTTCCAAGGAACCTGGTCTCTGTGGTAAAGAGTTTCGTAGCTATTTGGTTGACTTTCCTCAGTTTAAGACAATTAAAGTGGCTAGCTGTGAGGGTGGGATCACAGAGGGTAAAGTTCATTTGGCATTAAAGAGGTGAGTGAGACTTCGACAACTATAGGCCATAACTGCTAAACACGGAATTAAAGATTTTGGCCAAGATCCTGACAGAGCATTTGCAATCAGTTGCCAAGAGTCTGTTGGGACCTGAGCAGACTTGTGCTGTGAGGGGACAAACAATTCAGAGCAACCTGCATCTGTTCTGCATGACAATAGAGGGAGTAGAAGATGATGAAGAAGGCATGCTGATCAATTTGGATTAGTCCAAGGTGTCCTTCAGGCTGGCGGATTCCAACCCAACTTCTGCAAGTGGATTAGCCTCCTGTATCATGCCCCCCCAGTGCTGTGGTACAGGTAAACGGAAACCATTTACTTGCTTTTGCAATGTCACAGTCAGTGAGTCAGAGTTTCCTGCAGTTGCTCTTATTTTATGTTTTGGTGTTGGAGTCCCTCCTTCGCCAGCTGAGTGCAGTGTGGCCCTATGCTGAATTGCTGTCCCTGGTGGGGGTCAAGCCAGGGTTTCCGAGTATGCTAAGGACGTATCCATTTTCGTGTTGTGCTGCAATGACACTGAGGTGGTGCAGAAGGCACTTGAACAGTACAAGAAGGTCACAGGGCCAAGAATTACCACAACAAGTCTTCCAGCTGGAAGGAGGGGGTCGATTTTCCGGGGCCTTTTGGTTCAACGGATTGGCCTGTCTGCATTCTCAGAGTGTGATTCGGGCCTGGACCCCAACTGGAGAAAAATTGGTTTGAAGTACTGGCAAAGGTTGGTGTGCTGGTTGAGATTTGGTGCCAAAGGTGGTTGTCCTTGAAAAAGTAGGTCTGAATCGTGTGTCACTTACATCATTCCACTCATCCTTTACTGACTGGCTGTACTTCCCCTCTGTAAGGAATGTAAGAAGGCAATCAAGTGCTTGCTGGCCACCCTCTTGTGGGGTAGTTGCAAGCATCATGTCGACAGAGGTGTCTGTGCCCAACATCCGTGTCATGAGGGGCTGGGTTTGCCACACTTAGCAAATCACCAACACGCCACAAGGTAGGATTTCCTATGCTGTGTGTTGACAGAAGATTCGATCTTGTTGAGAAGTGTGAGGGCTGCATTCCCTTGCCTTACCATCACTTCTCTGGTTTCCAGGGTTGAGTGTCTCTGTAAGCCTCAAGATCAGTCAGATTTCCTTCTCAACTACCAAACAGCCTTGGTGTTATTCTTCGGTCCACAGACCTTTCACATAGTTTAAAATTTGAGTCATTGAGGTTTATGTGATTTGCATAAATTCCAATGGACTGTATAATGTATATACATATTGCATGTCAGTGACTTACATGTGCTTGTCTTTGAAATAAGAAGTTGGAATGACATTCCCCTCAGACTCAGTCTGGACAACCCCTACATTGGTCTGCACAATAAATTCAGAAGAGATAATTTTTTTTTTTTTTAGATTTTGTGTAAATATTTTTAGGTCTATTATTGAATTAGAAGACACACACACAATTTGAATGAATCTAAAATGAACAACTGTGTCAGAAAAGCGAAATTTTTTCAATTTTTTTTTTTGCTAACAACACCTGGATAACAGGAAAAGAGTTAGAAGCTAAAATGTGCAGCCCTTTGAGGTCATTTTAAGGATTTCTGTATTTTAAACTGAATATAATTTCTAATAATTGTACATTTTAAAATTGGATAAACAATTTAGATTCAAGAATTTTGCAGAGACAGATATTGAACTAGTGAAAATTAAATCACTCATATATATGCGAAGAGGAGACCTTTTAATATTTAAGCTTTAGATTTCTAATAGCTGAAAATAACTTGTCCAATCTGTAAGAAAAAAAGTGCATCACAGAGCTTTGATATTTATCTGACTCCTGATTGGTTAATTAATGCTAATATCATGTTTTCCACTACGTCCGCGTGGTTAAAATTAATTTATCGCCAAAAATTTATGTTTCGAGCCTATCACATGACATACAACATTACAAATACAAGACACATTTTCAGCTCTTCCTCTCTCTCCATTCTTTTTCTCATAACCACAACAATGTACTTCAGTGAAGAGCTTATGTCTGTCTCTGATGAGAAGACGCCATGACAAACGCACGCGCGCACACACACGTACGTACATACATACATACGCACATCTACAACGTGTATTAATTCCTTCAACTACAAGGACACTTATCAATTTCTAACAGAGATTTTCTTCAGCATTCAATAAGTCTACAACACCTTATCTAAGAACATTATTTTAATTGAGACTGACCATTATTTGACGAACTGAAATCTTTCCCTGGGGTCCAGATAATAATAAAATAAAAATAAAAAAACAAAAAAACTTAACTTCTTTCTTTGGTAAACAGAAACTCACACCAGTTAAACACCTGACTCACATCTTGAGTTTAATGTTTTAAGTTTTAAACAATAAATTACAAGATTTCAACCCAAAATCTACGCCATTGTAATTCTTTTTACAATATATTGAAAGTGTTCGTTGACCAAAATATCGCCTTTTTCTTTTCTCAGTTTTACTTTTATGTGGTTTTCTCTTGTTTTGTTTGCTAGCCCATAAAAAGTAAAAGAGATACGGTTTGATTGAACTGAGGCCGTTCAATCCCGCTACAGTGGCTACAAGCTATACTACCAGTACTTGTTGAAAAGAAAGGCCTACCTTATACAAATAGATCCAATCAACAGCTATTTTCATTAAGAATAAAATGAAACAAAAAACATCCGTGTGTGGGTGTGTAACAGCAACAACAAAAAAAAACAACAAATAACTACAAACAACTAAATGTGGTCAAGTAGTAAAAACTCTAAGTCTTTCTCTTGCAATTAAGAATAAAAATTAAATAAAATAACCTTGATCCATACAGTCTATTTTCAGTTTTCTTTTTTTTATCAAAAAATCTAAAAATAAAATTCATACATAAAAAACAGCCTTTTTAAAAGATCATTGACGCTTTTTTGAACAGGTCAATAGTTTTCATGGAGGAGGTGACCATCAACATAAGCGACACACTATTTCACAGGGGTGACAGTATATGACGGGTCTGTAGTGTGAAATTGTGATCTGACCTTCGTAAGTCCCGTGAGCTAGTTTGGTCGTAATGTCATTGCGCAGCTGAGCACAAGATCAATTCCTTCTACATATTTCGTTTAAAAACCGGACAGTTTTACTTTTAGCTTGTCTTGGGTAAATAAATCTGATGGAGCCCATCCCTCTCCTGACCACTTAAGTAAATTTCTGAGTTTTAATTTTTACTTGAAATTTTAAAATGGGTTATTGCCGCAGGATTAAAAACTCATTTTGCTAGTGTTCGGGAAGATAACATGTGTACTTAAAAATTTAAATCGTATAAAGTTACAAAGTAAAGAAAAAAAGTGTTTCTTTATAAAAGCCTTGGTCCCTGGATTACAAAAATTATTTACAAGAAATAACTTTTTATTTTATTAAAGATTCGCTTCACAACAACTTTACTTTAATTCCTAATGTTTTAGTAGCCTCAGCAAAATAATTCTATTCGATCCAATAGAGATATTTCAATTGAATAATAATAATAATGTATTGTAGGTGAAAGCAAAAAAAAACAAAAAAACTATGCCATTATTTTTTTCTTTGATGGCTACCAGGAACAATAAAGTTGTTTTTTGGGGGAGCGGGGTTTGAGAAGGCGTGAAAATACTATACTTACTTACATTTTAAATAAATTAAATTATAACTTCTGAATTATTTTTCTTGCTATTTGTCACAACATTCCCACTCAGTCGATACATTCTTCACTCTTCAGTTATTAAAAAAAATTCTTAAGAAAAGTTTCCGACGAAACTCGAACTTGCATACATCTTCAAATTATTATTATTAAAATAATACCAAGAATTTAAGAAACGATTTTTATAGTATGCAAATCTATAAGAAGATGATGAGTATCTAGAATTCATTCAAGTATAAAAAATTCAGTAAATCTAAAATTACGTGTAGCTATGTTTTCATCTCGTGATTAGGGAAGTTTCACGAAAACGAAAAAAGGTGGGTGGGTAAAAAAAATCTGCAGCGAACCTTTCCTTTTAGTTTTATTACAAAATTGAAGGTAAAAATTTAAAAAGTTACTCGAAATAATTATTAAAAAATATTTCTATCTAAAGTAACTGATTGAACGAAAAAAAAAAGGATAAACATTTTAAAACTGTTAGAAATCTTTGAATAAAAAAAAGAATAACTCACTTTGCTCCAGCTTTTTCAAACAAAGTTGCCCACGCTTTAGGATCAAAAAATTCTGTTGTGAATTTCGGTGCAAAGTCCGCATATGTAAAATCGGGAGGATAATTTCTTTTCATGAACTCAACATAATTGGGTGTTTGTTTAGCCTTCCAGTAATACCAAAACCATTCCGATCCGTAACTGGGGACGGAAAACACCCCCCAGTGCAAAAATATTCCAACTTTAGCCTCATCAAACCAAGCAGGAAGCGGGCGAGAGTCGAGGGATTTCCAGTTTGGTTCATACCTAACTTCAGTTGAGAAACCAAAGAATAGCACAAAGAAAATAGCGGAAAGAGCGAGATGTTGGTAAACACGACTATTCAGCGCCATGTTTCCAACTAAAAATCATGTGTTCAATAATTTAAGGACATTAGAGTTACTTCCCTTTGTAAAAATTTCGAAGGGTCATGTGATGATGCATCAGTCAGTTATGTGCCATGCGATTATGCACTTAGGCGAGCATCTGTCTTTCGACACATGACTAACGAGGAGGGTTTTTCCTGCAGTAGGTTTCCATTTCTTTCTGCGGTAGACCAATTGCCATCCAAGGCTATAGAACCCGGTCAGTCCTGCTACCCTTTCCCAAGGGTATTACCACGTAAGTGAATGTAATTGATTCGACTGGCTTTCGAACACGGCTCTCCGATTCATCAATCCGAGCCGCTATCCATTACTCACCGTGCCTACTAATGCATCAATAAACTAAAAAGTGTAATTTTCCATATTATTTTTGATTTTTATTAGATAAAAAGCATAGCTATTATTATTTTCTTTTAGTAATATTTCCTTCCATACAGTTTTTAACAAACACTTAACTTAACAGTAACACAAACCCGCAATCCGTGACGTATAGTAAACTTTTTTGTCTTTTAAAAAGATTTTAAAACATCTCTCCAGCGAAGTTATTGTTTTTTTTTTAAAAAGAAACAGTAACTACGCTGTAGTTAGTATGTTTTTTTTTTGTTTTGTTTTTTTTAATATATAATATAGATTATGTAAAGTAAAACTAAAAGCATTTGGAGAACTGTTGGAACTGCTAGGTAACTCACATATTTGGGAAGGACATTATTAGAATAATCCAGAACCTGTATTGGCAGCAAACCACCTGCATACAGATAGAAAATGGATTCAGTAAATATACCAAAATAGAAAGAAATCTAAGACAAGGATGTGTCATCTCACCGGACTTATTCAAACTCCACACTGAAACGATTTGGAGAGAATTAGAAGTTCTACCAGAAATCATTGTTGGCGGCTACAAACTTAACATAAGGTATGCAGATAACAAGATACAAGGAAACTACAAGAACTTCTACAGAAGGTAATGAAAGAAAGCGAGAAGAAAGGACTGAACATCAATTGAATAAAGACTGTGTATGGTTGTCAGCAAAAGGAGCAGCCCAACATGCAAATTACAAGTTGGAAATACGAATATCGAGCAATTAAAACAATTTAAATTAGTTGGGAAGTGCAACACCGAAATCCGAAGGCTCATCGGGATAGTGAAAATACATTGCAAAAGCTAAGCAAAGTATTAAGGAACGTGAAAATCTCTTGAGAAACGAAGGAAAGAGTACTGAACTTTTATGTAATACCGACCCTCCTATATGACAGTGAATGCTGGACAATCTCAAAGATGAGGGAAAGGTTTGCGTCAACAGAAATGTAGTCCTACAGAAGGATGCTAGGAATACCATGGGCTGAACATGTAAGACATAGGGAAGTTTTAAAGAAAATGGAAAAAAAAGATCTTTGCAGAACGAGACAGTTGAAATTTCTCGAGCACATAATGAGAAAAGAGGGCTTGTGAAATTTACCCGCTCCTTAGAAAGACGACCTTGACCTTCACAGCCCCTGATCTCGCAGATTTAAGACAAGCAACATGCGAGAAACCGGACGACTAGTCCAATATGGTTGAGTCCAAACCGTACCTCGTGAGCATCGAATTAGGCAGCGCTTTTTCAAACATCGAACAACATTGAGATTAACGGTTTTCTACTCCCTCTAGTCAGGGAGTACTTGAATAAATCACTCCACATATTATTAGCCCCTTTTTTCGTCTAACTCGGAGCTGCTCGGTCTGGGGGCCTGGATCAAAGTGTAGTACGCTACTTTTGTGAGCTTCCGGTGCTTTGTCGAGAGAATACTCTTCTGCGCGATCCCGTTTCCGCGGTCGATCCGCCCTGGAAGACGTATCATCTCTCTGACCAGCTTCGTCAAGTGTTACACTTCGGCGCGATCCCGTTTCCGCGGTTGATCCGCCCTGTGAAGTAGTATCACTATTCTGATTTGGCCCTGTTTAGGGACTTCGTCCTAGTCAAGTGCTACTCTCCGGCGCGACCACGCCTCCGTGGTTATGAAGTCGTATCACTATTCTGACTCGGCCTTGTTTAGGGACTCCGTCCTCGTCAAGTGCTACACTTCGGCGCGATCCCATCTCCGCGGTCGATCCGCCCTGTGAAGTCGTATCACTATACTGACTCGGCCCTGTTTAGGGACTCGTCCTAACCGATACAACGAATCTTCGTGCGACATCGATCAAGCTGCTGCTGTTCCTGACAATTCTCCCGATTGGCAGTCGACCAGCTACCGCCGACTTTCAACTTTACATTCGTTTTGCCGATACGACCGAAATCAACTACCCCTAAACAAAACCAGTCATACCGGACCCAACACCGATACAAACATGTTTCTCCAGAGTACACTCTTGTACATCTTGGATAAATAAAATCGACGTTATTGTTTCCTAAACCTTTGACTTTGTCCCCTCATTGTCTTAGCTGTTCACACCTTTCTTCATAAAGCTTGCGGGGGTGACATCCTTATCAGCCCCGCAACAGAGGAAAACAACTCAACCTACCTAACGAACTTGTTTAAATAGATGGCAGAACAAGGTTTAGGGGAGATAGCACACTGACAAAATTTAAGGAACAAATTTAAATACTCAGAAATCCAATGTTTGTCGCAGAGATGGGTTTCGAAGTCAGTAAGTTTCAAAATTACCGTAACTGGATTTTGTAAAAGTAATGCTTAATTTTTGCTTAAAAACTTGAAAATAACGTTTATTTACGCATATAAATATCTACTGTGTGTAATTTCTTTTAAGAAAGCGCACAAAAAAAAAACTTAAATACGGAATACCAGCAGTGCAATAATCAAGAAATTGGTGACAAATTTGAACTTCCGTGCCCGCCAAAAACAAAGCAAAACTAAACCAAAAAACGAAGTGTCAAAAGAACGGTTTTCCACTTGTCACCACTATTATTATAACTACCTTCACTCATCGGCAATGTTTCTTTTAAAAAGCGATGATTAGAATTGTAATAAAACCTCAAGTTCTAAAAATCATGAAAATGAATTTACATTTTTTCTTCTTGAGAATTTAAAAAAATATGAAACACTAATTTATCCATAAATTTCTTTTTGAACATTCATACAAAAAATAATGTAACAGTTACCAAAATGAAAAAAAATATCTTACGGTTCACACTCGAAAAATGACATTAGACTACGTATCCATTCTTCAAACAGGTCTTTATTTAATAAAATGTTGTAAACCTTTCGTTTCTTTCCTTGCAAACAATTCCCACAATTATTTACATTATTCGGACTATTGTCCTCATCTTTGTCGCCATATTTATTACAACGTTTCGACTGATTGATTGATGATTGCTGAAGACATTGGGTTTATAATTTATAATAACCAGAAATTCATATACAGATGTCCTCAAGGGCATGGCACAGTGGATAAAGGCGTTAGTTAGATCCAGTGACAGGACCCAAAGAGTGCGAATTCAATACCCGGTTAAGAACTTTCAGAGGGAAATTAACAGGAGATAACTGATAACTGACATCCATTAAACATGACACGTGGAACTAGAACAGTCTACACCAGTGAGTGAAATAAAGGGTTCAGTTCAATATTCCAACCACCTGAACGACCGAAACGTAATAAATATGGCGACAAAGATGAGGACAATAATGTAAATAATGTACATAATATCTCATCTCAGAAATATAGATAAATTCCCACAATCCATTTCCTCTCAAACACTCTACCGACTGCAACAAAGATAGCCTGTTTGACGCAGCGGTATATATTTATAGTTGGCCAAAACGGGAACTGGTCAACCCCCTAGAACTACCTAATCAAATTCACGACATATTAATTCATTACAATTTGCTCATTCACCATAAGAACTCATTAATCACCATCTGATCCTATAAATACCATAAGGAACCCACAAAACCCCCCTGACATAAAATTTCAAAAGTCCAAATGTCTCTATTTTTCCCTTTTTCTTTTAAAAATATATTTAAATCCAAATGATCATGAAATGAGGTGGGGGAGAGGAGATGAACCCACAAAAAAACAAAACTAAAATATAAAAAACATTCAAACTAAAAATAACAGATGTTAGTATGACCCGTCCACCCACAAAAAATAAGATCCGCCGCTGTATACCGCCTTTAGACAGAATCAAGAAACTCACTAATGGAGAGGAAAGGATAAAAATAAATGACGAACTGAGAAAATCAAAGACAAGCCGAGATCAAAAACAAAGGGGACAAAGACATGGATCATAAAAGAAAAATGCCGGGAACGACACTTACTTTTATTAACTAGGTAAACAAAGAGAGTCTATCTTAACCAGGGGAGGGTTCAACAAGAGACCGCCCCATTGCCTCAAATGGGACTTAAAAAAGAAAATTATGGTTAACCTCGTTCACTCGAACCAGGCTCGCTATTTTCACCCGCCTTTTGCTGAAATCTATCGATAACAAACGCTTTCTCTCAGTACTGATCTTCATCTTGAGCTGATACCCAAAGAATCCAACCAGGTTTTGATGAGAACAGCGTTCGTATCACAAGATTCCCTCCATTCGCGAAGTCCGTACCACCATTCTTGACACGGCTAGCAATGTTAGAAACATCACCCGTTTCACCCTAGAATACGGGGCGACACATTGTCGCCCGAGTATGCAAGATCAATGGACACAAGATGTTCGGGATCGATACGAGCCGTCAACTCGCCGACCTACTCCCAGAACGGACGCACCTGAGGACAGTTGTAGAAGGTGTGCGAAGCCGTTTCCTCTAGACCAAGGTCGCACCTATAACAGTTGGGCAAATCCGCCCAGCCCTCTCTGAAGGCTACGTCATTGAGAGATAGCGCGTTCCGTACTAATCGCCAGGTAAGCGAAAACTAATGATTGTTGAGGTAAATTCGATATTGGCATCCAAGTCCAGAAAGAACGCAAATCGATCGCCGACAAACCGAGTAACCCACAGAAAGGATCCTTAATCTTAGGGATTTCTTTAAATATTG